GGTCAGTCCAGTTACTGTGAGGGGTCAGTCCAGAGTTTACTGAGAGGGGTCAGTCCAGAGTTTACTGAGAGGGGTCAGTCCAGTTACTGAGAGGGGTCAGTCCAGAGTTTACTGAGAGAGGTCAGTCCAGAGTTTACTGAGAGGGGTCAGTCCAGTTACTGTGAGGAGTCAGTCCAGAGTTTACTGTGAGGGGTCAGTCCAGAGTTTACTGAGAGGGGTCAGTCCAGTTACTGTGAGGGGTCAGTCCAGAGTTTACTGAGAGAGGTCAGTCCAGAGTTTACTGAGAGGGGTCAGTCCAGTTACTGTGAGGGGTCAGTCCAGAGTTTACTGTGAGGGGTCAGTCCAGAGTTTACTGAGAGGGGTCAGTCCAGTTACTGTGAGGGGTCAGTCCAGAGTTTACTGTGAGGGGTCAGTCCAGTTACTGTGAGGGGTCAGTCCAGAGTTTACTGAGAGGGGTCAGTCCAGTTACTGTGAGGGGTTAGTCCAGAGTTTACTGAGAGGGGTCAGTCCAGAGTTTACTGAGAGGGGTCAGTCCAGTTACTGTGAGGGGTCAGTCCAGAGTTTACTGTGAGGGGTCAGTCCAGTTACTGTGAGGGGTCAGTCCAGAGTTTACTGAGAGGGGTCAGTCCAGTTACTGTGAGGGGTCAGTCCAGAGTTTACTGAGAGGGGTCAGTCCAGAGTTTACTGTGAGGGGTCAGTCCAGTTACTGTGAGGGGACAGTCCAGAGTTTACTGAGAGGGGTCAGTCCAGAGTTTACTGTGAGGGGTCAGTCCAGTTACTGTGAGGGGTCAGTCCAGAGTTTACTGAGAGGGGTCAGTCCAGAGTTTACTGAGAGGGGTCAGTCCAGTTACTGTGAGGGGTCAGTCCAGAATTTACTGAGAGGGGTCAGTCCAGAGTTTACTGAGAGGGGTCAGTCCAGAGTTTACTGAGAGGGGTCAGTCCAGAGTTTACTGTGAGGGGTCAGTCCAGTTACTGTGAGGGGTCAGTCCAGTTACTGTGAGGGGTCAGTCCAGAGTTTACTGAGAGGGGTCAGTCCAGTTACTGTGAGGGGTCAGTCCAGAGTTTACTGAGAGGGGTCAGTCCAGAGTTTACTGAGAGGGGTCAGTCCAGAGTTTACTGAGAGGGGTCAGTCCAGTTACTGTGAGGGGTCAGTCCAGAGTTTACTGAGAGGGGTCAGTCCAGTTACTGTGAGGGGTCAGTCCAGTTACTGAGAGGGGTCAGTCCAGAGTTTACTGAGAGGGGTCAGTCCAGAGTTTACTGTGAGGGGTCAGTCCAGTTACTGTGAGGGGTCAGTCCAGAGTTTACTGAGAGGGGTCAGTCCAGAGTTTACTGTGAGGGGTCAGTCCAGAGTTTACTGTGAGGGGTCAGTCCAGAGTTTACTGTGAGGGGTCAGTCCAGAGTTTACTGTGAGGGGTCAGTCCAGTTACTGAGAGGGGTCAGTCCAGAGTTTACTGAGAGGGGTCAGTCCAGAGTTTACTGTGAGGGGTCAGTCCAGAGTTTACTGTGAGGAGTCAGTCCAGGTACTGAGAGGGGTCAGTCCAGAGTTTACTGAGAGGGGTCAGTCCAGAGTTTACTGAGAGGGGTCAGTCCAGTTACTGTGAGGGGTCAGTCCAGTTACTGAGAGGGGTCAGTCCAGAGTTTACTGAGAGGGGTCAGTCCAGAGTTTACTGTGAGGGGTCAGTCCAGTTACTGTGAGGGGTCAGTCCAGAGTTTACTGAGAGGGGTCAGTCCAGAGTTTACTGTGAGGGGTCAGTCCAGAGTTTACTGTGAGGGGTCAGTCCAGAGTTTACTGTGAGGGGTCAGTCCAGTTACTGAGAGGGGTCAGTCCAGAGTTTACTGAGAGGGGTCAGTCCAGAGTTTACTGTGAGGGGTCAGTCCAGAGTTTACTGTGAGGAGTCAGTCCAGGTACTGAGAGGGGTCAGTCCAGAGTTTACTGAGAGGGGTCAGTCCAGTTACTGTGAGGGGTCAGTCCAGAGTTTACTGAGAGGGGTCAGTCCAGTTACTGTGAGGGGTCAGTCCAGTTACTGTGAGGGGTCAGTCCAGAGTTTACTGTGAGGGGTCAGTCCAGAGTTTACTGAGAGGGGTCAGTCCAGAGTTTACTGAGAGGGGTCAGTCCAGTTACTGTGAGGGGTCAGTCCAGAGTTTACTGAGAGGGGTCAGTCCAGTTACTGTGAGGGGTCAGTCCAGAGTTTACTGAGAGGGGTCAGTCCATAATTTACTGAGAGGGGTCAGTCCAGAGTTTACTGAGAGGGGTCAGTCCAGTTACTGTGAGGGGTCAGTCCAGAGTTTACTGAGAGGGGTCAGTCCAGGTACTGAGAGGGGTCAGTCCAGAGTTTACTGAGAGGGGTCAGTCCATAGTTTACTGAGAGGGGTCAGTCCAGAGTTTACTGAGAGGGGTAAGTCCAGAGTTTACTGAGAGGGGTCAGTCCAGAGTTTACTGAGAGGGGTCAGTCCAGAGTTTACTGTGAGGGGTCAGTCCAGAGTTTACTGAGAGGGGTCAGTCCAGAGTTTACTGTGAGGGGTCAGTCCAGAGTTTACTGAGAGGGGTCAGTCCAGAGTTTACTGTGAGGGGTCAGTCCAGAGTTTACGGTGAGGGGTCAGTCCAGAGTTTACTGTGAGGGGTCAGTCCAGTTTACTGAGAGGGGTCAGTCCAGAGTTTACTGAGAGGGGTCAGTCCAGTTACTGTGAGGGGTCAGTCCATTTACCGTGAGGGGTCAGTCCAGAGTTTACTGAGAGGGGTCAGTCCAGTTACTGTGAGGGGTCAGTCCATTTACTGTGAGGGGTCAGTCCAGTTACTGTGAGGGGTCAGTCCAGAGTTACTGAGAGGGGTCAGTCCAGAGTTTACTGTGAGGGGTCAGTCCAGAGTTTACTGAGAGGGGTCAGTCCAGTTACTGTGAGGGGTCAGTCCAGAGTTTACTGAGAGGGGTCAGTCCAGAGTTTACTGAGAGGGGTCAGTCCAGTTACTGTGAGGGGTCAGTCCAGAGTTTACTGAGAGGGGTCAGTCCAGTTACTGTGAGGGGTCAGTCCAGAGTTTACTGAGAGGGGTCAGTCCAGTTACTGTGAGGGGTCAGTCCAGTTACTGTGAGGGGACAGTCCAGAGTTTACTGTGAGGGGTCAGTCCAGTTACTGAGAGGGGTCAGTCCAGTTACTGTGAGGGGTCAGTCCAGAGTTTACTGAGAGGGGTCAGTCCAGTTACTGAGAGGGGTCAGTCCAGTTACTGTGAGGGGACAGTCCAGAGTTTACTGTGAGGGGTCAGTCCAGAGTTTACTGTGAGGGGTCAGTCCAGTTACTGAGAGAGGTCAGTCCAGTTACTGAGATTGGTCAGTCCAGAGTTTACTGAGAGGGGTCAGTCCAGAGTTTACTGAGAGGGGTCAGTCCAGTTACTGTGAGGGGTCAGTCCAGTTACTGTGAGGGGTCAGTCCAGAGTTTACTGTGAGGGGTCAGTCCAGAGTTTATTGTGAGGGGTCAGTCCAGTTACTGTGAGGGGTCAGTCCAGAGTTTACTGAGAGGGGTCAGTCCAGAGTTTACTGTGAGGGGTCAGTCCAGAGTTTACTGTGAGGGGTCAGTCCAGAGTTTACTGAGAGGGGTCAGTCCAGTTACTGTGAGGGGTCAGTCCAGAGTTTACTGAGAGGGGTCAGTCCAGAGTTTACTGAGAGGGGTCAGTCCAGAGTTTACTGTGAGGGGTCAGTCCAGAGTTTACTGAGAGGGGTCAGTCCATAGTTTACTGAGAGGGGTCAGTCCAGAGTTTGGTGAGTCTCTCAATCCTTTCTTGCCCTAATGACCGATATTAGTGCGACCCCTCACAGTGAACTCGTACTCCTCATCAGTTCCTGGTAGAAATGTACTGTTCGATTGACAGATATCTGAATGCAGTCTGGGGGGTTTAGTGGTCCTGGACTCTGTCAGGCCCCCTTCTCACACTAAACTGCAGCTACCATCTTTTCTTGCCTTAGTGTTCGATAATCAGACCAACCCCTTACAGTACACACACACACACACACACACACACACACACACACACACACACACACACACACACACACACACACACACACACACACACACACACACACACACACACACACACACACACACACACACACACACACACGCACACACACACACACACACACACACACAAACACACACACACACACACACATTACATTGACCTACATGCTATTCCTGGAGACTTACCCTAACCTTAACCATAACCAACACATGCCTAAACCTAACCAAGTCTTCACCCTAAAATTAATGATTCCCCTCATGGGGACCTCCATTTTGTCCCCATGAGGGAGGCGAGTCCCCACACGTGCAGATTTAGGTCCCCACAAGTATAGTAATGCTAGGCCACACACACACACACACACACACACACACACACGCACACACACACACAGCCACACTCATCTCTTTCGACAACACTTCGAGCGATAGAATTATTAACAAAGCACTTTTATACTAATAAAGGACTGGCTTACCTAAAGCCAGTTGAGTAGCACTTGAAATGTTTGGCTCTATGAAACCTGATGTACTTTATGATTCTGTTTTCTTCAAGGTTGTGTCTTCCTGGTCGAATGTGCTTATTGTAAGTCGCTTTGGATAAAAGCGTCAGCTAAATGCAATGTAATGTAACACACACACACACACACACACACACACACACACACACACACACACACACACACACACACACACACACACACACACACACACACACACACACACACACACACACACAGACAGATATGTGGATGCAGTTTGGGGGGCTGAGTGGTCCTGGTTCTGGACTCAGGCCCCTCTCACACCAAACTCCAGCTAGAATCAAACAGTTTAGAGCTGCCACCGCGCCGCGCCCTTTGATTCCTCCCTGGGTGTGAAGTTTCCAGAAAACAGTCCTCTGTTTGTCTTTCGGCTGCTTCCGTCCGTCCAATTAGCGTCCAGCTGTGACGTCAGTGCTCTGCTGGACCAATGAGGGTCCTCAGCGGAGCCTCAGAGGAGCCTCTCCGGGATCTAGGTCCGTTAGAGAGAGACTGATGGACGGCTCAGGTAGATGAGAGGACAGGACATGGAGACTCGGAGCTGTGGAGTCCGGAACACCTGGACCCTGACCCAGATCACCTGGACCCGGATCCCCTGGACCCGGATTCTCTGGACCCTGCTGCTGGCCTCCGTGAGTCCGCCGGGCGGCACCGCCTCCTGGGTGTGAGTATCAGATCGACCCGAATCTGCGGTTCCTTCATGGCGGCTGTTTACAACCTGAGTCACTTTCAAAGCAGCTGTTTGTTTACTGGCATTTCTTTAAGAACATCGATCCGTTAGTTGTTTTTATAAAACCGCCTGAATCAGGTCTCAAATCTGACATGTGTTATTATTAACCTCTGATGGAGTTCGGTGTCCAATCTGAATGCAGCTCGTTCCACTTTTCATCACGTCGCATTCTCACGTGATTGACCTCTTGATTCAGCATTCCTCCTGAACAAAGTGCTATTTATAACTTCCTCTTTTGGTGCATCTATTTCAATCAAATCGCTCCCTGTAGAGACCCTGTAGAGACCCTGTAGAGACCCTGTAGAGACCCTTTAGAGACAGTATTTCCTCGCATTAAAACACAGAGGGAAACAGCGGGGGGCGGGGGGCGGGGGGGGGGGGGGGGGGGGGGGGGGGGGGGGCGGACAGACGGATTCACCCGGGTCATTCATTTGAACCACAGTAACATTTAACATGTCATTAAAATATAGAGAAATAAGGACTTTTCTCCCTAAAGTCCCGGGATCTCGTTGGATTTCCGGGATTAACTCCGTGTTTTCCCTTTGCTCTCGGTCAACACTCCTCTTGTTTGAATGAATCAAATGTGATATCAGTGAGATGTAATAACGTTTCATTAAATACAAACTTCTTTAAATGAAAACCAAACGGGTCTTAAGGAATAAATGAGTGTGACCTGGTTCTAGTGGGTTTGAATGGTCCTTATCACGGGAAGGAAACCAAACCCCGCGGTGATGTAACTCCATCTTTAGAATGATCTTATCCCTTACTTCGGGTTAATAAACCTCATAAATAATATACCAACTTTCCATAAGAATAACATTTGTATTCAGCAGTGAAATAAAGACATAAAGAAATAAAGACATAAAGAAATAAAGACATAAAGAAATAAAGACAAATAAATAAATAAATAAAAAGCCAAAACTCTTTTAATGTGCAGAAATAGATAACAGTGTCCTGATGAAATGCAGTGACGTGTTGTTGGGCTGAATGTGTGCAGACGTCTGAAACCACATTCTTCCTCTGATTTCATTTCTCTGTAATTGAATCATGGGCTCGGCCTCAAGAGGAAACTGAGTCTGAAGGCTTCAATGGAACTCAAGCGTCTCCAATTCAGACTCCAGAAAGCACAATCACATTTAAACTCACGGTTCAAATGTAAAGCTCCACCGAGCCCCAAACGAGACCTGGAGTTTTATTCTGAACCCTAATGTACTTGTTCCACATCTCTTCAGCTCTCCTTCCTGTGTGCATTCATTCAAATAGAATCACTACCACCTGTTTGTGAATTAGCGGCTCTACGTTGTTCCTCGGGATGCAGCGTTTTCACCTGGAGAACAGAGAGTTAGTGGGAAGCACGCTTTACAGGGAGACAGGTTGAGAAGCAGGCTGCTGGATGTATTTATGAGGTATCTGCAGTTCAATCAGGAGGGACTCCATTCAGTCTGAAGAACACTCAGGAGAGACTTCATTCAGTCTGAAGAACGCTCAGGAGAGACTTCATTCAGTCTGAAGAACACTCAGGAGAGACTTCATTCAGTCTGAAGAACACTCAGGAGAGACTTCATTCAGTCTGAAGAACACTCAGGAGAGACTTCATTCAGTCTGAAGAACACTCAGGAGAGACTTCATTCTGTCTGAAGAACACTCAGGAGAGACTTCATTCAGTCTGAAGAACACTCAGGAGAGACTGCATTCAGTCTGAAGAACACTCAGGAGAGACTCCATTCAGTCTGAAGAACACTCAGGAGAGACTTCATTCAGTCTGAAGAACACTCAGGAGAGACTTCATTCAGTCTGAAGAACACTCAGGAGAGACTTCATTCAGTCTGAAGAACACTCAGGAGAGACTTCATTCTGTCTGAAGAACACTCAGGAGAGACTTCATTCAGTCTGAAGAACACTCAGGAGAGACTCCATTCAGTCTGAAGAACACTCAGGAGAGACTCCATTCAGTCTGAAGAACACTCAGGAGAGACTTCATTCAGTCTGAAGAACACTCAGGAGAGACTTCATTCAGTCTGAAGAACACTCAGGAGAGACTTCATTCTGTCTGAAGAACACTCAGGAGAGACTTCATTCTGTCTGAAGAACACTCAGGAGAGACTTCATTCAGTCTGAAGAACACTCAGGAGAGACTCCATTCAGTCTGAAGAACACTCAGGAGAGACTCCATTCAGTCTGAAGAACACTCAGGAGAGACTCCATTCAGTCTGAAGAACACTCAGGAGAGACTTCATTCTGGCTGAAGAAAACTCAGGAGAGACTCCATTCAGTCTGAAGAACACTCTGGAGAGACTTCATTCAGTCTGAAGAACACTCAGGAGAGACTTCATTCAGTCTGAAGAACACTCAGGAGAGACTCCATTCAGTCTGAAGAACACTCTGGAGAGACTTCATTCTGTCTGAAGAACACTCAGGAGAGACTTCATTCTGTCTGAAGAACACTCAGGAGAGACTTCATTCTGTCTGAAGAAAACTCAGGAGAGACTTCATTCAGTCTGAAGAACACTGGAGAGACTCCATTCAGTCTGAAGAACACTCTGGAGAGACTCCATTCAGTCTGAAGAACACTCTGGAGAGACTCCATTCAGTCTGAAGAACACTCAGGAGAGACTTCATTCAGTCTGAAGAACACTCAGGAGAGACTTCATTCAGTCTGAAGAACACTCAGGAGAGACTCCATTCAGTCTGAAGAACACTCAGGAGAGACTTCATTCAGTCTGAAGAACACTCAGGAGAGACTTCATTCAGTCTGAAGAACACTCAGGAGAGACTTCATTCAGTCTGAAGAACACTCAGGAGAGACTCCATTCAGTCTGAAGAACACTCAGGAGAGACTTCATTCAGTCTGAAGAACACTCAGGAGAGACTCCATTCTGTCTGAAGAACATTCAGGAGAGACTTCATTCTGTTTGAAGAACACTCAGGAGAGACTTCATTCAGTCTGAAGAACACTCAGGAGAGACTCCATTCAGTCTGAAGAACACTCAGGAGAGACTTCATTCAGTCTGAAGAACACTCAGGAGAGACTTCATTCAGTCTGAAGAACACTCAGGAGAGACTCCATTCAGTCTGAAGAACACTCAGGAGAGACTTAATTCAGTCTGAAGAACACTCAGGAGAGACTCCATTCTGTCTGAAGAACACTCAGGAGAGACTTCATTCAGTCTGAAGAACACTCAGGAGAGACTTCATTCAGTCTGAAGAACACTCAGGAGAGACTTCATTCAGTCTGAAGAACACTCAGGAGAGACTTCATTCAGTCTGAAGAACACTCAGGAGAGACTCCATTCAGTCTGAAGAACACTCAGGAGAGACTTCATTCAGTCTGAAGAACACTCAGGAGAGACTCCATTCTGTCTGAAGAACATTCAGGAGAGACTTCATTCTGTTTGAAGAACACTCAGGAGAGACTTCATTCAGTCTGAAGAACACTCAGGAGAGACTCCATTCAGTCTGAAGAACACTCAGGAGAGACTTCATTCAGTCTGAAGAACACTCAGGAGAGACTTCATTCAGTCTGAAGAACACTCAGGAGAGACTCCATTCAGTCTGAAGAACACTCAGGAGAGACTTAATTCAGTCTGAAGAACACTCAGGAGAGACTCCATTCTGTCTGAAGAACACTCAGGAGAGACTTCATTCAGTCTGAAGAACACTCAGGAGAGACTTCATTCAGTCTGAAGAACACTCAGGAGAGACTTCATTCAGTCTGAAGAACACTCAGGAGAGACTTCATTCAGTCTGAAGAACACTCAGGAGAGACTTCATTCAGTCTGAAGAACACTCAGGAGAGACTCCATTCAGTCTGAAGAACACTCAGGAGAGACTTCATTCAGTCTGAAGAACACTCAGGAGAGACTTAATTCAGTCTGAAGAACACTCAGGAGAGACTTCATTCAGTCTGAAGAACACTCAGGAGAGACTTAATTCAGTCTGAAGAACACTCAGGAGAGACTTCATTCAGTCTGAAGAACACTCAGGAGAGACTTCCTTCAGTCTGAAGAACACTCAGGAGAGACTTAATTCTGTCTGAAGAACACTCAGGAGAGACTCCATTCAGTCTGAAGAACACTCAGGAGAGACTTCATTCTGTCTGAAGAAAACTCAGGAGAGACTCCATTCAGTCTGAAGAACACTCTGGAGAGACTCCATTCTGTCTGAAGAACACTCAGGAGAGACTTCATTCAGTCTGAAGAACACTCAGGAGAGACTTCATTCAGTCTGAAGAACACTCAGGAGAGACTTCATTCAGTCTGAAGAACACTCAGGAGAGACTTAATTCTGTCTGAAGAACACTCAGGAGAGACTCCATTCAGTCTGAAGAACACTCAGGAGAGACTTCATTCTGTCTGAAGAACACTCAGGAGAGACTTCATTCAGTCTGAAGAACACTCAGGAGAGACTCCATTCATTCTGAAGAACACTCAGGCGAGACTTCATTCAGTCTGAAGAACACTCAGGAGAGACTCCATTCAGTCTGAAGAACACTCTGGAGAGACTCCATTCTGTCTGAAGAACACTCAGGAGAGACTTCATTCAGTCTGAAGAACACTCAGGAGAGACTTCATTCAGTCTGAAGAACACTCAGGAGAGACTTCATTCAGTCTGAAGAACACTCAGGAGAGACTTCATTCTGTCTGAAGAACACTCAGGAGAGACTCCATTCAGTCTGAAGAACACTCAGGAGAGACTTCATTCTGTCTGAAGAACACTCAGGAGAGACTTCATTCAGTCTGAAGAACACTCAGGAGAGACTCCATTCATTCTGAAGAACACTCAGGCGAGACTTCATTCAGTCTGAAGAACACTCAGGAGAGACTCCATTCAGTCTGAAGAACACTCAGGAGAGACTCCATTCAGTCTGAAGAACACTCAGGAGAGACTCCATTCAGTCTGAAGAACACTCAGGAGAGACTTCATTCAGTCTGAAGAACACTCAGGAGAGACTTCATTCAGTCTGAAGAACACTCAGGAGAGACTTCATTCAGTCTGAAGAACACTCAGGAGAGACTCCATTCAGTCTGAAGAACACTCAGGAGAGACTTCATTCAGTCTGAAGAACACTCAGGAGAGACTTCATTCAGTCTGAAGAACACTCAGGAAGAGACTTCATTCAGTCTGGAAGAACACTCAGGAGAGACTTCATTCAGTCTGAAGAACACTCAGGAGAGACTTCATTCTGTCTGAAGAACACTCAGGATAGACTCCATTCAGTCTGAAGAACACTCAGGAGAGACTTCATTCAGTCTAAAGAACACTAAGGAGAGACTCCATTCAGTCTGAAGAACACTCAGGAGAGACTTCATTCAGTCTGAAGAACACTCAGGAGAGACTTCATTCAGTCTGAAGAACACTCAGGAGAGACTTCATTCAGTCTGAAGAACACTCAGGAGAGACTTCATTCTGTCTGAAGAACACTCAGGAGAGACTCCATTCAGTCTGAAGAACACTCAGGAGAGACTTCATTCTGTCTGAAGAACACTCAGGAGAGACTTCATTCAGTCTGAAGAACACTCAGGAGAGACTCCATTCAGTCTGAAGAACACTCAGGAGAGACTTCATTCTGTCTGAAGAACACTCAGGAGAGACTTCATTCTGTCTGAAGAACACTCAGAAGAGACTCCATTCAGTCTGAAGAACACTCAGGAGAGACTTCATTCTGTCTGAAGAAAACTCAGGAGAGACTCCATTCAGTCTGAAGAACACTCTGGAGAGACTTCATTCTGTCTGAAGAACACTCAGGAGAGACTTCATTCAGTCTGAAGAACACTCAAGAGAGACTCCATTCAGTCTGAAGAACACTCAGGAGAGACTCCATTCAGTCTGAAGAACACTCAGGAGAGACTTCATTCAGTCTGAAGAACACTCAGGAGAGACTTCATTCAGTCTGAAAAACACTCTGGAGAGACTTCATTCTGTCTGAAGAACACTCTGGAGAGACTCCATTCAGTCTGAAGAACACTCAGGAGAGACTTCATTCAGTCTGAAGAACACTCAGGAGAGACTTCATTCTGTCTGAAGAACACTCAGGAGAGACTCCATTCAGTCTGAAGAACACTCAGGAGAGACTCCATTCAGTCTGAAGAACACTCAGGAGAGACTCCATTCAGTCTGAAGAACACTCAGGAGGGACTTCATTCAGTCTGAATAACACTCAGGAGAGACTTCATTCAGTCTGAAGAACACTCAGGAGAGACTCCATTCAGTCTGAAGAACACTCAGGAGAGACTTCATTCAGTCTGAAGAACACTCAGGAGGGACTTCATTCAGTCTGAAGAACACTCAGGAGAGACTTCATTCAGTCTGAAGAACCCTAACCCTCCATCATGGGCCCATCTCAAGTCTCTAATGTAGCTCCTCCTCCATCATGGGCCAATCTCAAGTCTCTAATGTAGGTCCTCCCCCATCATGGGCCCATCTCAAGTCTCTAATGTAGCTCCTCCTCCATCATGGGTCCATCTCAAGTCTCTAATGTAGGTCCTCCTCTATCATGAGTCCATATCAAGTCTCTAGCTCCTCCTCCATCATGAGTCCATCTCAAGTCTCTAATGTAGGTCCTCCTCCATCATGAGTCCATCTCAAGTCTCTAATGTAGCTCCTCCTCCATAATGAGTCCATCTCAAGTCTCTAATGTAGGTCCTCCTCCATCGTGAGTCCATCTCAAGTCTCTAATGTAGGTCCTCCTCCATCATGGGTCCATCTCAAGTCTCTAATGTAGGTCCTCCTCCATCATGGGTCCATCTCAAGTCTCTAATGTAGGTCCTCCTCCATCATGAGTCCATCTCAAGTCTCTAATGTAGGTCCTCCTCCATCATGGGCCCATCTCAAGTCTCTAATGTAGCTCCTCCTCCATCATGAGTCCATCTCAAGTCTCTAATGTAGGTCCTCCTCCATCATGAGTCCATATCAAGTCTCTAGCTCCTCCTCCATCATGAGTCCATCTCAAGTCTCTAATGTAGGTCCTCCTCCATCATGAGTCCATCTCAAGTCTCTAATGTAGCTCCTCCTCCATAATGAGTCCATCTCAAGTCTCTAATGTAGGTCCTCCTCCATCATGAGTCCATCTTAAGTCTCTAATGTAGCCCCCCCTCCATCATGAGTCCATCTCAAGTCTCTAATGTAGGTCCTCCTCCATCATGAGTCCATCTCAAGTCTCTAGCTCCTCCTCCATCATGAGTCCATCTCAAGTCTCTAATGTAGGTCCTCCTCCATCATGAGTCCATCTCAAGTCTCTAATGTAGCTCCTCCTCCATCATGGGTCCATCTCAAGTCTCTAATGTAGGTTCTCCTCCATCATGGGTCCATCTCAAGTCTCTAATGTAGCTCCTCCTCCATCATGGGCCCATCTCAAGTCTCCAATGTAGCTGCTCCTCCTCCATCATGGGTCCATCTCAAGTCTCTAATGTAGCTCCTCCTCCATCATTGGTCCATCTCAAGTCTCTAATGTAGGTCCTCCTCCATCATGAGTCCATCTCAAGTCTCTAATGTAGGTCCTCCTCCATCATGAGTCCATCTCAAGTCTCTAATGTAGCTCCTCCTCCATCATTGGTCCATCTCAAGTCTCTAATGTAGGTCCTCCTGCATCATGAGTCCATCTCAAGTCTCTAATGTAGGTCCTCCTCCATCATGAGTCCATCTCAAGTCTCTAATGTAGGTCCTCCTCCATCATGAGTCCATCTCAAGTCTCTAATGTAGGTCCTCCTCCATCATGAGTCCATCTCAAGTCTCTAATGTAGCTCCTCCTCCATCATGAGTCCATCTCAAGTCTCTAATGTAGCTCCTCCTCCCACTCGCTGCTGGTATTCAATCTATTTCCCACAAACATGTAGAATTCTGTAAAATAAAATCATTTTTTAAAATCTCTGTTGATCTTATAATTTATGGAGGACAACACAGTTTTAAATATCAATGAACAAATACATCTATAAATAAATAACTGCTGAATTAAAGGATCTCTTATTTCATTATCATACAAAAATGTAGAATTGGATTTAAGATAATTATAAATGTCCTGTTTCATTATTTAATATTTTTATTTGTATTTATACATTTATTTCTGTATTTCAGAATCGGTTAAAACACATTTCTTTATTTCTATATATTTTTTTTTTTGCATTCGTTTATTATTTAGATTTTTCGTCCTCCATATAATCATAAAAAATTATGAATGTACGTTCAAATCACTTCAATATAAGTGTGTAATTCTGCTATAAATACTGAATTTTATTCTGATCATTTACTATTTTATGCTTTCATTTAGAGATATTTCTCCCTCCATATAATCCTTAAAGTGATTGTTCTTCGTTTAAGTTTATATAGCACCTTTCAACACAAGGCAATTCAAAGTGCTTTACAACAATGAAAGACATCAAGAAAATGGCATTCAAAAACAGTCATTAAAAAGCAAAGATAATCAAATAAAGGAAAAAATACATGAATAAAAGTTACAGTGCAGTTTAAGATGTGAATAGTTCAATTAAAAGCAGCGACAAAAAGGAAAGTCTTCAGCCTGGATTTAAAAGGACCTAGAGGTTTCTGGGAGGATGTTCCAGATGTTTGGAGCATAATAACTGAGAAGTGTTTGGGTTCCTTCAGTGTTCTGATGTGTTTGGGTTCCTCCAGGTCTCTGGGTGTCTCCTTCCTGGGTTCTCCGGAGAGGCCCAGCTGCTCCGCCCCCCCGCTGAGCCCCCGGCAGCGGGACCTCTGCAGGAAGCAGCCGCTGGTCATGCCCAGCGTTCAGGAAGGAGCCCGACTCGCCGTCTCAGAGTGCCAGAGCCAGTTTAGACACGAGCGCTGGAACTGCTCCGTCCGCAAAGAGCCCCCGGTGTTTGGGCGCGAGATGACCAGCGGTGAGGGGGCGGGGCTACATACCTTGTTAACACATACCTCATTAACACATACGTCATTAACACACACCTCACATACTCAGTTAAAACATACGTCATTAACACATACGTCATTAACACATACGTCATTAACACATACGCCATTAACACATACCTCATTAACACGTACCCCATTAACACATACCTCATTAACACATACGTCATTAACACATACCCCATTAACACATACCTCATTAACACATACCCCATTAACACATACCTCATTAACACATACGTCATTAACACATACCTCATTAACACGTACCCCATTAACACATACCTCATTAACACGTACCCCATTAACACATACCTCATTAACACATACGTCATTAACACATACCTCATTAACACGTACCCCATTAACACATACGTCATTAACACATACCTCACATACCTCATTAACACATACCTCACATACCTAATTAACACATACCTCATTAACACACACCTCACATACTCCGTTAAAACATACCTCATTAACACATACCTCATTAACACATACCTCACATACCTCATTAACACATACCTCACATACCTAATGAACACATACCTCATTAACACACACCTCACATACTCCGTTAAAACATACGTCATTAACACATACCTCATTAACACATACGTCATTAACACATACCTCACATACCTAATTAACACATAACTCATTAACACACACCTAACATACTCCGTTAAAACATACTCCGTTAAAACATAAGTCATTAACACATACGTCATTAACACATACGTCATTAACATGTACCCCATTAACACATACCTCATTAACACGTACTCCATTAACACATACCTCATTAACACATACCTCATTAACACATACCTCACATACCTCATTAACACATACCTCATTAACACATACCTCACATACCTCATTAACACATACCTCATTAACACATACCTCATTAACACATACCTCACATACCTAATTAACACATACCTAATTAACACATACCTCATTAACACATACCTCACATACCTCATTAACACATACCTCATTAACACATAATAATAAATAATAATAATAGCTTCGATTTCTATAGCGCCTTTCAGGGGACCCAAGGTCGCTTCACAAGTAATAGTGCAAAGACAAACATAACAAAACAAAAGACAGACAAACAGAACAACAGATCGATTTAGGGGCCGAAAGCCTTGGCAAACAGATGGGACTTGAGGGCCCTTTTGAAGGCTTCAAGTGTGGGGATGTTGCGTATCTCCGCAGGGAGAGCGTTCCAGAGGGTGGGGGCTGCCACACTGAAGGCTCTGTCCCCGTAGGTTCGCAGTTTGGTGCGGGGGGTGGTAAGCAGGCCAGAGTCTGAGGACATACCTCACATACCTCATTGTTGACTCGACTCTAAACTCGAGTCAACGAGTTTGTATTGACTTGGGACTTGTTGGTATTGAATGCAAGCTTGTTGACTCAGGAAATGATTCTGAACACGTTGATTTCACTCTGAACTTGTTGGACCTGACTTGGAAGTCGTTGACTTGACTCTGAACTTGTTGATTTCACTCTGAACTTGTTGGACCTGACTTGGAAGTCATTGACTTGACTCTGAACTCGTTGACTTGACTCTGAACTTGTTGGACCTCACCTCGAAGTCGCTGGACTTGAGTGGGAGCTGGATGGGTAATTGGATGTGACTTGGGACTTGTTTTTCTTGACTCTGGACTAGACTCAGCTTATTAAAGCTCTGCGCCTGCACTCAGATGAGCCTTTGTCTTGTTATCTAGGTGTTTACTCACTTACTACTGACGTACTTACCAAAGTACTAAACTAATTAAGCACTCGTTAGACTCGTTACTTGTAGCACTCAAGAGTTTTTTAAATATAATGATGAGGATTTAAAATGCTGGTTTTCCAGAGGGTCTTTTGAATGGGGAGATGCTGAGTCTCATGACTGCAGAGCTTTAATTATAAGGCGGGGGGGGGGGGGGGGGGGGGGGGGATATGGAAGCATTTTAATGTGATGTGAGATGTACTGAATATTTCTCCTAACTGGGTCAATCACATGTTTTGAATCAGGACATTAGAAGCATGTGAGAGTTCCTTGATCTGCAGACAGGAGGAGGAAAACACTGCAGATTCTACTGAGAGATTGCTGAGTTTAAAACATATATTAAAGATGGTTTGTGTAGATCAGAGCTTAGAGAACTAAACAAATATCAGTCAATAATAAACATCTCTAAACATGTTCTTCTGGTGAGAAAGGTAGAGAGACATTCAGAGGACTTGAAGTGTCCTTTTCCTGATATCCTTTTTGTTAAAGTTAAACCAAGGACTCATTGAACTCTGAGCTTTTGTTCTTGACTTGTAACTTGTTTGACTTAAATTGTGCCTCATTGGACCAGACTTTTTGGTCTGACTGGGACCTTATCGGGCCTGGAACTGGTTTATATTGATTTTGGACTTGTTGGTATTGACGCAGGACTTGTTGGTCTTGACACAGGACTTGTTGGTATTGACACAGGACTTGTTGGTCTTGACACAGGACTTGTTGGTATTGACACAGGAGGACTTGCTGGTCTTGACACAGGACTTGTTGGTATTGACACAGGACTTGCTTGTCTTGACACAGGATTTGTTGATCTTGACACAGGACTTGTTGGTCTTGACACAGGACTTGTTGGTCTTGACACAGGACTTGTTGGTATTGACACAGGACTTGCTGGTCTTGACACAGGACTTGTTGGTATTGACACAGGACTTGCTGGTCTTGACACAGGACTTGTTGGTCTTGACACAGGACTTGTTGGTCTTGACACAGGACTTGTTGGTCTTGACACAGGACTTGTTGGTCTTGACACAGGACTTGTTGGTCTTGACACAGGACTTGTTGGTATTGACACAGGACTTGTTGGTCTTGACACAGGACTTGCTGGTCTCGACACAGGACTTGTTGGTATTGACACAGGACTTGTTGGTCTTGACACAGGACTTGTTGGTATTGACACAGGACTTGCTGGTCTTGACACAGGACTTGTTGGTCTTGACACAGGACTTGTTGGCCTTGACACAGGACTTGTTGGTCTTGACACAGGACTTGTTGGTATTGACACAGGACTTGCTGGTCTTGACACAGGAACTTGTTGGTCTTGACACAGGACTTGTTGGTCTTGAACAGGACTTGTTGGTCTTGACACAGGACTTGTTGGTCTTGACACAGGACTTGTTGGTATTGACACAGGACTTGTTGGTCTTGACACAGGACTTGCTGGTCTTGACACAGGACTTGTTGGTATTGACACAGGACTTGTTGGTCTTGACACAGGACTTGTTGGTCTTGACAGGACTTGTTGGTCTTGACACAGGACTTGTTGGTATTGACACAGGACTTGTTGGTCTTGACACAGCACTTGTTGGTCTTGACACAGGACTTGTTAGTCCTGACTCTAGGATGGTTTGACTCAGGATTTGACGTGGAACTGGTTGGGCTTGTCTTGGGATTCGTTGGAATGGACGAGTCTTTGATTTGATATTGAAGTGTTTTTGCCTCTTCCTCCTGAACCTGAACCTGAATCTGATGATGTGTCTCTGCAGGATCCAAAGAGACGGCGTTCCTGCAGGCAGTTCTGGCAGCGGCTCTGGTCCACGCCGTGACCCGGGCCTGCAGTCAGGGCAACATGACGGAGTGCGGCTGCGACGCGCGGCTGCGAGGAGGCGGAGCTCTGCAGGGGGACGTGTCTCTGCAGGGAGGCGGGTCTCCACAGGGGGGTGGGTCTCCGCAGGAGGGCTGGCACTGGGGTGGCTGCTCGGACCACATCCAGTACGGGATCTGGTTCAGCCGCAGGTTCATCGACGGGACCGTGAGAAACACGACGAGCGTCAGAGGAGGATTCACGCTGAGCAGCGCCTACATCCACAACAGTGAGGCGGGGCGGCAGGTGAGACCAAAATAACCAGGTTCTATACCTGCAGAGGTCAAACAACCAGGTTCTATACCTGCAGAGGTCAAACAACCAGGTTCTATACCTGCAGAGGTCAAACAACCAGGTTCTATACCTGCAGAGGTCAAAGAACCAGGTTCTATACCTGCAGAGGTCAAACAACCAGGTTCTATACCTGCAGAGGTAAAAAAAAACAGGTTCTATACCTGCAGAGGTCAAACAACCAGGTTCTATACCTGCAAGGCAAGGCAAGGCAAGGCAAGTTTATTTATATAGCACTTTTCAACACAAGGCAATTCAAAGTGCTTTACAAAAAATGAAAGAGATTAAGAAAATGGCATTTAAAATCAGTCATTAAAAAGAAAAGCTAATAAAATAAACATTAAAGAAAAAATACATGGATAAAAGTTACAGTGCAGTCTAAGATGTGAATAGTTCAATTAAAAGCAGCGACAAAAAGAAAAGTCTTCAGCCTGGATTTAAAAGTAGTCAGAGTTGCAGCGGACCTGCAGGTTTCTGGGAGTTTGTTCCAGATATTTGGAGCATAATAACTGAACGCTGCTTCTCCATGTTTAGTTCTGACTCTGGGGACAGAAAGCTGACCAGTCCCTGAAGACCTGAGAGATCTGGATGCTTCATCATTTAGCAGGAGGTCAGAAATGTATTTTGGGCCTAAACCATTCAGTGCTTTATAAACCAGCAGCAGTACTTTGAAATCTATTCTTTGACACACAGGAAGCCAGTGTAAAGACTTCAGAACAGGAGTGATGTGATCCACTTTATTAGTGTTAGTGAGGACTCGAGCAGCAGCGTTCTGAATTAGCTGCAGCTTCCTAATAGATTTTTTAGTGAGACCTGTGAAGACACCATTGCAGTAGTCGAGTCTACTGAAGATAAAGGCATGGACAAGTTTTTTCCAAATCCTGCTGTGACATTAGTCTTTTAATCCTAGATATATTCTTTAGGTGATAGTAGGCTGATTTAGTAACAGTTTTAATGTGACTGTTGAAACTCAGGTCAGAGTCCATGACTACACCTAGATTTCTGGCTCTATCTGTTGTTTTGAACATTGCACACTGAAGCTCAGCGCTAACTTTTATACGTTCTGCCTTGGCTCCAAAAACCATTACCTCAGTTTTATCTTTGTTTAATTGGAGAAAGTTCTGACACATCCAGTCATTGATTTGTTCAATGCACTTACTCAGTGTTTGAATTGGAGCATAGTCTCCTGGTGAAATTGTTACGTAAATTTGTGTGTCATCTGCATAGCTATGGTAACTTATTTTGTTGTTCTTCATTATCTGAGCCAGTGGTAGCATGTAGATGTTAAAGAGAAGAGGCCCCAAGATGGAGCCTTGAGGAACCCCACATGTCATATTTGTCAACTCAGATGTGTATTTACCGATAGAAACAAAGTTGTTTCTGTCCTTTAAGTAGGATTCAAACCAATTCAGAACTGTTTCCGAAAGTCCCACCCAGTTCTCCAGTCGGTCTAGTAATATGCTGTGGTCAACAGTGTCAAACGCAGCACTGAGATCTAATAATACTAACACTGAAGTTCTGCCACTGTCTGTGTTTAAGTGGATGTCATTAAAGACCTTTACAAGAGCAGTCTCAGTGCTGTGGTTTGGACGAAAGCCTGACTGGAACACATCCAAACAGTTATTTAAATGCAAGAAGTTACTCAACTGTTGAAAAACAACTTTTTCAATGATTTTACCTAGAAATGGGAGGTTTGATATGGGCCTGTAATTGTTCATTACTGAAGCATCTAGATTATTCTTTTTTAAGAGCGGTTTAATGACTGCAGTTTTCAGGGCCTGTGGAAAAATACCTGAGTGAAGAGATTTGTTTACTATATGAAGTAGATCTGAGGCCATGCAAGGCAAAACATCTTTGAAAAATCCTGTTGGAATAATATCAAGGCAGCAGGAGGAGGATTTCAGAAGTTGAATAATGTCCTCTAGGTTTTTATCATTAATCTGATGGAATTGTGTCATGATGTCTGAATTGATGTTAAGTGGAGATAGGGACAACACATTTGCTGTTCCTGATGCAGAGGCACTGACTGCTTGTCTGATGTTCTGAATGTTGTCAGTGAAAAAGGAGGCAAAATCATTGCACGCCCTGGTGGATAGAAATTCAGAGGCTACTGACACTAGGGGGTTAGTTAGTCTGTCGACGGGTAGCAAACAAGGCACGTGCGTTGTTGTTTTGTTTTTTGGTAATGATGTCAGAGAAGAACGATTGTCGTGCGTTTTTCAATTCCAAATTATAAAGGCCAAGTCTCTCTTTATAGATTTCAAAGTGAACCTGGAGATTTGTTTTTCGCCACCTGCGTTCAGCTTTTCGACATTCTCTTTTTTCTGTTTTCACGGTCATGGCCTTTCTCCATGGAGATATTTTCTTGCCAGACACTTCCTTTACCTTAGTTGGAGCAATGGCATCTATAACATTTTTAATTTTTGAATTAAAATGATCTACTAGCTCATTTACTGAGATGTTGGCAGGGGCAAGTGTGGAAGAGAAATTCTGAGTAAACATTTCCCTAGTATTTTCAGTTAAATATCGCTTTGTGGTTACCTCTTTTTGAACATTTTTGTGAACAGAAATAGAGCTCTCAAAGAAAACACAGGAATGGTCAGAGAGTGCAACATCAGTCACCACAACCTTAGAGATATTCAGACCCTTTGAGATAATTAAGTCCAGAGTGTGCCCCTTATTGTGCGTGGGCTCCGTCACATGCTGAGTCAGTCCATAGCTATCAAGAACACAAAACAGTTCTTTAGCCCCTCTGTCCTGGGGGTTGTCAACATGGATGTTAAAATCACCAACAATGACTAGACGGTCAAAGTCAATACACACTATAGACAGCAGTTCAGTAAAGTCATCAAAAAAGCTTGCACAGTATTTGGGTGGTCTATAGATATTTAGGAACAGAGCTCGAGAGGAGCATTTCAGCTGAAGGGCCACATATTCAAAAGAATCAAAGTTTCCATACGATGTCTTCCTGCATTGAAGGGAATCATTGAACAGAAAAGCAACTCCACCCCCTTTCTTATGCATTCTTTCCTGACTCATAAAACTAAAGTTGGGAGGGGTTGATTCGATAAGAACAGCTGCACTGTTATTTTGTTCAATCCAAGTTTCTGTTAAAAACATAAAATCGAGATTGTGCTCAGTGATAAAATCATTGATTAAAAATGTTTTTCCTGCCAAAGACCTGACATTTAATAAAGCTAGTTTAAGTTTGTTAAACACACTATCAGTCATGTTTTTTGTAACAAGCTGTGGCTGACATGGAATCACTGCTAAATTAGATACACTCACACAAACGTTTGAGCGCTTCCTGTTTCTATGATTCACCGCTCTTAATCTATTACCTATCAACACAGATATCGGCAAAGCTACTGGCAGGCAGGGCCCCGACATGTCCTGGAAAGAGTTGAGAGTGCCATACGCCCTTGAGCCTGGACCCATCACATATCAGTAAGAGTTTGTTGTGTTTTGTACACACACATCCTTATCAGGCTTCGGAGACTGCAGAAGCCCCTCGAAGGGAGGGGAGGTGGTCGACGTAGGCACGGTGATGGAGACGGGCTAGATGGTGCGGGGGTAGAGGACATGCTGCCAGGGGGGGGAGGTGGTTGACGTAGGCGCGGTGATGAGGACGGGGGAGATGGTGCGCGTCTCCGCGGTGATTTTTGGTGGGCGTCGTTGAGGAGCGGGGGTAAAGGACATGGTGCCAGCCCTGCGTATCGCCTTCGTTTGGTCTTTGAACTCCAGGAAGGAATCGGTGCCAACCCTCTGTATCTCCTTTGTGTGTTCATCGATCTCCAGGAGGGTGGGCGAGGGTGAAAGGGTGAACGGAGTATCCTCAAAGGCGTTGACAGGGGGGGGGGGGCAGTGAAGACTCCTCCATGTGTCTCATAGGTCTCCCCATAATCAGAACATTCCTCAGGCGGGTGCAAGTGATACTTCTTCAGGGTTTTCTGCGCGATGTGTTGTGTCTTTCTCCTGTTTTGATTCCTCTTGCCGCTTGTCCTTGGCAGAGGGAACAGATTGATGACGCAGGCAGTTGAATATGTTAGAGATAAACAATTTCACTCCTGACTTGTTCAGGCAAACTCCATTTGCCTTGAAAAGATGTCTGCGATCCCAGAAAAGTTAAAATTGTCAATAAAATGAACAGAATGGTCAGTACAGGCCGTTTGAAAGCCAGGTGTTCAGTGCAAACAATTCTGCTGAATATCTCCACTCCTCTTCTGACTGGCGGTAGAGGGCCACTGATGAACACCTCTGCATTTAGAGAGCTGGCAGTTTCCAACAAACATTTAAAGTCTTCTTTCAGCACTCTGACTGTTGTTTCACAACATCATTTGTTCCAATGTGCAGTACCACATTTCTCACAATCGGATGTTCAGCCCCAATATGCAGGATCTTCTCAGCCAAGTCAGAGACCACATCCTTGGGAAAACAGAGTACTTTGGTGTTGTTCTTATTTACACAGACCTTTTACATCTCTTACAGCAGAGTCACCCACAATCAGAGTTTCAGGCCCAGTCGTTAGCTTTCCCTCTAGCCTTTTACTTTTAGAGTAGCTATTGGTCCTTACCCTGCTGCGTGAAGAGGACAGGTTATCCAGGTCATCAGATCTCCGGTTCTCGGTCAGCGGAGCGTATCTGTTCTGGATTGGCACACTTGGTGGTTTAGGAGGATTGTTTGTACTTCTCCCTTTAGCAGCTGTCCACTGCTGTTTCCTAGTATGAATAGGGGTTGAAGAGGCGCTCTTCCTGGGTGATAACAATGCAGGCCAGCCGGTCGCATCACAGATTCGGAGCTCTGGGCTCTGCCTGTTATCCGTCCTCCCAAATCCCATGGAAGTGATTTACTCTTAGGCTTTGCACCCAGAGAGTTCCAGGGAGGACTATCACTTGTAGATTTATTACCCTGGTACACAGCCCTCCTGTCCTTGGAATCCTTGTAGCTGCTAACTAGCTGTGAGTTAGCATACCCTTCTCCATTACTTTGCAACACTGGTAAAGTCGTGTCAGTCCCACGACATAGTCCATTCACTTCCACGGTAACTTCCAACCGTTGCATTTTCATTTCCAACACAGCCATCTTCTGTATAAGTTCTGGAAGTCATCTGTAGAGAACGGAGGCATTTTGCTACCAACTAGCCTTAAGCTAAATAGCAGTAGCCTACCAGGCTTTAGCTGTTGCTAGGCCACGCTATTGTAAGACTGACGTCGTCGTAAAAATGTTGAAATATGGCTGAAAACCCTCCGTCTATTACGAAGATGAACTGTCCCAGTGATAAGTTAATGTCCAGGAGCCGCTGCTCGAAGTTTTCAGAGAATAAGAATAGGAAAATCAGCATAAAAAGTAAGCAGAGGCAAGAGCAAGCAGAAAAGCGTCTGCACTGTAAGAAAGATAAGGACGTCACCTGCAGAGGTCAAACAACCAGGTTCTATACCTGCAGAGGTCAAACAACCAGGTTCTATACCTGCAGAGGTCAAACAACCAGGTTCTATACCTGTAGAGGTCAAAGAACCAGGTTCTATACCTGCAGAGGTCAAAGAACCAGGTTCTATACCTGCAGAGGTCAAACAACCAGGTTCTATACCTGCAGAGGTAAAAAAAACAGGTTCTATACCTGCAGAGGTCAAACAACCAGGTTCTATACCTGCAGAGGTCAAACAACCAGGTTCTATACCTGCAGAGGTCAAACAACCAGGTTCTATACCTGCAGAGGTAAAAAAAACAGGTTCTATACCTGCAGAGGTTCAAACACCAGGTTCTATACCTGCAGAGGTCAAACAACCAGGTTCTATACCTGCAGAGGTCAAACAACCAGGTTCTATACCTGCAGAGGTCAAACATCGTAGGCTGGTGTTTTCCAGAGTATTAATGGTATTCTTTCATCTTTTCTAGAGTTTAAGGGTGCATTTCCTGTGCTTAAATGTCTATAGGTTGAACGGTGTATTCTTGCCAGCATCCTTATTCACAGTACAAATGATGCATTTGCACAGTTTCGACTGTATAATGGTGTTTATTTTGCCACATTTATTATAATTGTTTTTGATGTCTTGTATTATATTATCGTGCATTTTCAGCTGTGGAAATGGGTCATCTCCACTGTTTGAATGCTGTGTTTTCCACAGTGTAAATTTATGTATATACCTGATCAGGTTCTTCTTCTTCTGTCAGTCGATCGTCCGCACGATGTCGACTCACTGTCGCTGTCACGGCGTGTCGGGGTCCTGCGCCGTGAAGACGTGCTGGAAGACGGTGGCGCCGTTCGAGCGCGTCGGCGTTTACCTGAAGGAGCGGTACGAGCGCAGCGTCCAGGTGTCCGACCGGTCCAAGAAGAAATCGAGGAGGAAGGAGCAGCGGCGCCCCCCGGTGGACGCTCAGCAGCTCGTCTTCATCAACAAGTCCCCCAACTACTGCCTGGAGGACGTGCGGCGCGGCGTGGCAGGGACTCGAGGCCGGCGCTGCAACCGCACGTCCTCCGGCTCAGACAGCTGCGTCCTGCTGTGCTGCGGGCGAGGCTACAACACGCACCTGGTGAGACTCGTGCAGCGCTGTGAGTGCAAGTTCATCTGGTGCTGCTACGTCCAATGCCACCGCTGCGAGAGCATGAACGACATGCACACCTGCAAATAGGACAGGGACACACCTGGACACTAGCTAAAGACATGCACACCTGCAAATAGGACAGGGACACACCTGGACACTAGCTAAAGACATGCACACCTGCAAATAGGACAGGGACACACCTGGACACTAGCTAAAGACATGCACACCTACAAAGGACAGGGACACACACAGAGAAACACCTGCAAATAGGACAGGGACACACCTGCAAATAAAGACAAGGACACACCAAACCTGGACATGAGGACAGGAACACACCTGGACATGAGGAGAGGAACACATCTGGACATGAGGACAGGAACACATCTGGACATGAGGACAGGAACACATCTGGACATGAGGACAGGAACACACCTGGACATGAGGACAGGAACACACCTGGACATGAGGACAGGAACACACCTGGACATGAGGACAGGAACACACCTGGACATGAGGAGAGGAACACACCTGGACATGAGGAGAGGAATACACCTGGACATGAGGACAGGAACACACCTGGACATGAGGACAGGAACACATCTGGACATGAGGACAGGAACACATCTGGACATGAGGACAGGAACACACCTGGACATGAGGACAGGAACACACCTGGACATGAGGACAGGAACACACCTGGACATGAGGGACAGGAAACCCATCTGGACATGAGGACAGGAACACACCGGACTAGGAGAGGACCCCTTGACATGAGGACAGGAACACACCTGGACATGAGACAGGAACACATCTGGAACAGTGAGGACAGGAACACATCTGGACATGAGGACAGGAACACACCTGGACATGAGGACAGGAACACATCTGGACATGAGGACAGGAACACACCTGGACATGAGGACAGGAACACACCTGGACATGAGGACAGAACACACCTGGACATGAGGACAGGAACACATCTGGACATGAGGACAGAGAACACATCTGGACATGAGACAGGAATACTACACCTGGACATGAGGACAGGAACACATCTGGACCTGAGGACAGGAACACATCTGGGACATGAGGACAGGAACACATCTGGACATGAGGACAGGAACCACACGCTGGACATGAGGACAGGAACACATCTGGACATGAGGACAGGAACACATCTGGACATGAGGACAGGAACACATCTGGACATGAGGACGGACACATTGACATGAGGACCAGGAACACATCTGGACATGAAGACAGGAACACACCTGGACATGAGGACAGGAACACATCTGGACATGAGGACAGGAACACACCTGGACATGAGGACAGGAACACATCTGGACATGAGGACAGGAACACATCTGGACATGAGGACAGGAACACATCTGGACATGAGGACAGGAACACACCTGGACATGAGGAGAGGAATACACCTGGACATGAGGACAGGAACACACCTGGACATGAGGAGAGGAACACATCTGGACATGAGGACAGGAACACATCTGGACATGAGGACAGGAACACATCTGGACATGAGGACAGGAACACACCTGGACATGAGAGAGGAACACACCTGGACATGAGGACAGGAAACACCACCTGGACATGAGGAAGGAATACACCTGGACATGAGGACAGGAATACACCTGAAGACAAACGGATCATTTCTCCTTGAATCTGATTTTCTTTCTCCAGTTTTTTAAATTCTCTTTTTTCTGC